ATCTCAAAAGTAATATACAGCTAATTAACCCTTTTATAAATTTAGAACAATATTAGATTAGGGTATTGTACAAATATTTTTATTATGACGTAGTTTATTATACATATTTAATCATACTTACAAATATTTATAAATTTCATTGCTGGAAAAAATATATATATTTTTATTATGTCCAATAAATCTATATAATCTAAAATTTATCTTATTTATCGCATGTCTATAATTTACACGAATACTGAAGATCAATTTTACACTTAAAATAACATTCGCATATGTTTTGATCAATTTTACATATAAAATAATAAAACTAATTAATGACATTAACATATGCTTAATCAAATTTATTCAACCTCATTATATTTATACACAATAGATATCATTTTTATACGTTTATGGAATTTAAAAATCATAAGTTTTGTCTTACACGTTTAAATATTAAAAAAATTGTTTATGTTAAAATCGATTAGTCAACCTACTTAATTATTTAATGCTTTTAAAATGGGCCCATGTCGGCATTACGCTAACAAATTTGGCTCGACGGCGACAAAACATGATCGATTCGAACACGAGCAAACCAGACAAATTAGCAATTACCCAAGGCAAAGAGCCCACGTCACGACGGGCCAAGATCGATGATGGGGAAAGTATATTAGATTTGAAACTGATTGGATGTATCAAATAACTTTATTTTCTTCCGTGCAAGTTTGTTTTCTAGTTATTGTAATGTGATAAAGATATAGGCTCTGAATGGAGAAAGCAGATCAAGCAGAGCGGATCAAGCGGATCAAGTAGATCAAGTAGNAAAAAANNANATCTAGNAGATCAAGCTGGAGAAGTGCAGATCTAACAAATAATGCAGTTCATAATATATGTTTGAATGGTGAAAGCAGATAAATAGTAGTACAAAATATATATTAAAATAATAAAAAAATTGGAATAAAAATCTTAACTAAGAAATTATTAAACAATATACATACTTTAAAAAAATTACATTAAGTCTAAATATTGTTTAGTTTTTCATATTTTTAACACAACTTTTTCAAATGTTAAACATTTGTTTTTTAATTATGATAGCT